GCTGCGATCGGTTTGCGAGTGGTTGACAGAGCGTCGATACTGCGGCTCCAAATGACTTCAAGGCGTAACGTGCCAGCACCTGTGTCTGGGACGTGGACACCCTGCTGTGCCAGGATAAATATTTCTTTCCCAAACGTTCCGTTTTCTCTTCTCTCTCTTCTTGCAGACACTTGATGACACAACGTTTTTTTTTCTGTAGAAAAACCAAATGAATTAGATCAGCGCAGATATCATCAGCTGTGAGGTGATTAACTCAGCGTTCATGGATCATAAAGTTCCCCCGAGGCTGCGTGAGACCATGAGAACATGAACTTGTCTTGACTGCACAGCTGAAATGCAGGAGGTGGAGACAGACAGCGATCATCTTGTTTGATTTTCCTCGGTGCTGCTTGGGCAACGCGACCGCCTTTGCATCGTGAGACAATCTATACTTTATGGCTTTGGTGGGTCTCGCCCAGGCATCTCTTCACTAAACCATAGAAACAATGAGGCTGATCCCTGCGTGTCTGTGACGAGTCGCAGTCTGCAGGCGCTGTGGATTGTTTTGACAGCTTTGTTGGCTCCTTTTCCTTTTCCACTGTCTCACATGTGCACGATGTGCAGGAACCTTTTGTCTGCAACGTCGTCTTAAATGTAAGCAGTTAAAACAACGCCTACATGCGGCAATACTGGTCCGGCCACGTTTACCAAGATGTCTCACCTGAGGTTTTTTGTTAAACTAAAAAGAAAGGATCTGCTCGTTCAACACGTGTTTCAAGAAGAGAATGAATCCTGCAGATGCCTGATGAAGACGTTCCTGTGAAGTTATTCATTGTGCTTCTTATTGAATATTGTTAATGTTTCCGAACATTAGAACATGTCACACTGTTTCACATCCTATAGATTGAAAACATGAAAAAACGAGAGCATCAAGCGTCAACAGGGTCCTGAAAATCACCTGGAAAAGGTGAGAGAGGACGTCTGGGTACCGACTACCTCCAGGATCCAAGCCTGGATGTGTGGAGGACAAAGGACGGATGGATGCAGAGTGTTTGTGACCTTGATATCGTGGTTCCTCTCCTCCATCGCTTCTCTGCAGACTCTGAATCAAATCGTGTCAGTTGGCAGCAACGATATCTGGGACGTGTTAGCTTTGAATTTTTCAAACGGGAGGAAGTGGAGATTCATCATCCATCTTTGTAAACAGTCTATGATTTATACCAACTCCTCATTTGCACCATCCTCAGCGAACCTCTCTCACCAGCTGCTCCGCTGCGTGATGTAAAACTCCTCAGAGAGGATTCGCAGGCAGAATCTGTCGGACAAGTTTTAACAGGAGCTGAATGAGCAGTGAGCCACGGCGACCGTCCAGGAGACTCGGGCCAAAGAACATCTACCTGAGGAGGAAATGAAAAAGGAACTGATCATAAGTAAACATGTGAGTCATCTACGTCCCGGCAGGGAACAGTCTGTTACGCTGCTGCTGCCAACCCTCAAGACCTGTTACACCGGGAGAGCTTCCAGATACACAACGCAGGGGTCTGACTTCATGATCAGTCTCATGACACTGGGAAATGAGAGAGAACCTCACAGATGTGTTGGAGGAAAAGTCTGGGAATCAAACTCCATGTCAAAAACATTCATCATCTGCGAACCATGAATGTCAGTTCATGATATTACTCTCGTCCATCTGTCCGTCCACTGGACTCTACTTGTGTCCATCACACAGTTTCCTCAGTTTGACTGAAGAAGACATGAAGCAAGAGAATGAGACATAAACTCCTCAGGAAGTTAGAAGAGTCATTTTCTCACTTCTTATATACATATATATAGAGAGAGGGAGGGAGGGAGGGATGAGAATGTAGGTCACAGGTTCTCCAGCTCATCAGGATCAATGGGATGCAGCTGGGATCTCCGTCAGCCGGTGGGAATCAGCTGTGACGAGGGTTCATAAGGACGTCTGGTTCAGACGCTTGTTTCCTCTCAGAGAGTCAACACCTTCAGTTGCTTCTCTGAGTTTTGTGTTGTTTGTTTTGTTTATTCTGAGAATTTGTCTTTTGTCCATTGTCTCTGTGATTCTCGCTGTCTTTCGGTTTATGTCCAATCTTTCTGTTACTCTATCGTTTACTTAGATTTAAGTGGGAGACTGTTGGGAAACTTTATTTAAGGACCCGTTCAGTTTTCTTTAAGTGGTTTGTTAGTTTTCCAGCAGTGGACTCTGTGAACCAGGTTTAGTTTTTCTTGTAACACTATATATATTTTAGAAAACAGGACAAGATGGTGAATATCGTTGTACATTGTGCTTATATGTGTGGAGGATGTTCAATGGAAGACGTCTGTCACAACAGACTGAACAAATCCAGACATTTAGAATCTTATTCACACATTGAGGGAAAACATCATCAACTGCTTTTGACCAAAAACATTGCAAGTTAAGCAAAATGTAAAAAAAAAAAGAAGTAAGGTTTGAATACCTCCCTGTATTTCTTGGTGACTCATGGATTAAACAGTCGAACAGGTTCACACACACATGCAGAGGACATCATGTGTTAAGATTAAGGGCGTTGTCCCAGATGAGGAGGCAAATTTCTGCAGCTCCCTGCTTTAGCATCTTGGCGCTTGCATAATGATTACTTTCCCTGCCAGCAGAATCCAGCGGGGGACCCCACCCTCTCTCCCTTTTTATGTAGTTATTATTTCAGCTTAATTGTCGTCTTTCATTCCCTGTCAAACCAGCAGGCGTTTTGTCACGCACGCCACAGAGCTGCCTGCCGGCGAGTTACCTTTCACCCGCCACATCACGCGAGACACAATCTGGTATCTGCGTAACGGAGCCGAGGACTCAATGTAAAGAAATGATTAACTTCCTCTGTGTTTTTGACAAAAGCTGTCAATAAGCTCTTTTTAATGTTTCACCGAATCTGTTATCTCCCCACAGAAAAGATCGAATCAAAACTTTACAAGAAAACACGGATGGTTTGTGAAGTTAATGTAATTGAACCAACTACACTCAAATTGATTTTATTTATTTTTACCTGCACCGAGAAAAGATTTACCAAAGAATCTATCAACTTCTGCCACTGACCCGGAGAAATGTGAAATAATCATTAATTAATTATGTGTGTTACTATTCCTGTGACACTTGAATCTGAACCCAACAGGAAACGTGCAGGAGACCAAAACAATCGGCTTAAAGGATCTAAAGTTCTCTGCAGAACTGAGGGGAATAAATAAAGTTGGAGCTAAAGAAGCCAGAAAACAATCTGGAATTATTTCATGAATCTTTTTTATTATTTCATTGCAGAATTTTACACAAACAGGAAAAAAATAAAATAAACCATTCTTGTTGTTCTTATTAATTTTACATAAACTGATACATTTTCTTTCACACGATGTATCAAAACCAAACAAAATTAAACAAACGTTCACATAAAACCGATCTAAAGTCCCATTAGATAAAAATAGAAAAGAAAAATATTAATATTATATTAGGTAATAAAACCAGACAAATATTTACAAAGTTTTTCTGTTAGACTACAGGTGGGGGGGGGGGGGGGGGGGGGGGGTCAGTGCTGCCTCCTGGAGAGAGAAGACAGAAGAACTTGTTTCTCTATTAAAACGATAACAGAGTTGAAATCACAAGATTCGTTTCTCCTAAATTAAAAACACTGGACAGACAATGGGTCAATCAACTCTTCCAAGTACAAAGTGGGTTGATTCAAATATGTTCTAACAACTGTTTTAAATGTTCGGACGTCGTCGTCCTGTTTGTTAAAGAAACGCTCCTGCACGTAAAACTCTGGAAGACACAGAGAAGAGCTCGTCCATTAACGTCCTGCAGCAGAATGTTTCCGTTCAAGGATTTCAGTCCAGAATTTAGCAAAATTCCGCCACCTACAGGCAAGGAAAGCAGTAGCACCTTAGAAGTTCACACGCATCTGCACCATCTACTGGCATTGGAGCTGTTGATTGTGAATTTCATTCAAAGTGCTGCTGCTGTTATTTTCCTGATGAGCGGTGGCAGAAGACGGATAAACACAAAGGAGCCATGAGGGACTTCATGACTTGAGCTCCTTGAAGTTTCTTACTTCGACAAACACTTTTGTTCCTGAACATTTTGTACATTTTACAGTTTCATTAGTATTTTTACTAAGTGCTAAGAAAAAGACGTGTGCAACAAGTTCAGGTGCGACTCAGTTTGTGGTTTTGGTTTGAAAGTATTTCCGATCGGTGGAGAGAACAATTCTTTTTAAGTTACTTAAGATTTTAATACAAACGAGCCGGAGGAGTAAATAATGAAGTATTTTCTTCTCAGGGCTTCTTACTGATCAGTTTACACTGGAAAGGTTATGATTGAACCCTGATGTCTGACGGTTCTGAACAGTGCAAGACAATTAAAGGATAAACAGAATGTTTTGAAGTCGTCACCAGCAGAACTGAAGAATCACCACATTCTGTGTCGTTTTCCCCTAAAGGGCAAAGTTGTCAAGTTGATTCAGTTTTGAATCCATCCCTCTGTCACGTTCCGCAGATAACGACCATGTGTTTCCATTCACGGGCTCAAACCCTTCATTTGCACGATGAAACTTTGTTCTTGGCAAACGCAGCAGCGGCTACAACACTGCACAAAAATGCTCAGATTCAACTGTGGGAGAGAAGTCTTTTTAAGAACAATGACAGACGCGGCAACTTAGAATTAACGTTAGACAACAAAGCGACCTGGAACCTGCCATTTATGCAGTTAGCAGGACTGACTCTGCTGCATGAGAACAATCAGGAGCGATTACGTAAGACTTTCATCCGCCCTGCACTCTCTTGCTTGAGTTGACGTGCTGAACAAATACAGGAGAAGAATCAAGACGCCGCTGAACAGAAACAAACCGTCATCAAAGCAGATTGGTCGCCGGGGCGACGGGTAAAGTCGTGGATACAAACATTGGCAGATCGCTGCACGCTCCGAGCTCGACAGGTTTGACTTGTGCTGAAACAGGCATAACAAGGCGATCATTAACTTTTTCCATGGAGAGATCTCCGTTTGCTTGGGTCGATTATTTGTTTACTGACGTGAGATCGAATCGCAGGGACGTTTCAACATTACTCATATTAACGTTCAATGTAAAAAAAAAAAAAGGTTGTCAAGTATAAATCTCAATACATTCGTCATATTCTCAGACACACACACACACTTATGCACACGTATCAACAAATATTTACAGAAGTGTTTCCACCTCTCCTTGAAAGTTCGTACCTCAAAATGATAAAAGATGGTGTTGGTGGTGACGTCGGCAGCAGAGTTGCAGGAAAAGTTCATTTTGTTGTTGAAAGGTTTGTCCAGGATGTGATGAGCAGGAGTCTCTGGTAAAACCACAGTTCTGATGACTGTGGTTTTACTGTGTGAGTGGTTTTTAAATGAACACACGATGAAAATCATCTCCGAGCGCCTGGAGGATCATCGGCTCTGGTTTTACACGATGTTGAGTGACAGCAGGTGATCGGCTTTATCTCACAGGAGGAGAAATCTCAACCTGGAGAAGGTCCAAGAAGTTTGTCTCACAGAGCGACGTCTAAATGCACCTAAAGACGGATGAGAAGACAGCTCCCCAAAAGTGAAGCCAATCCTATTGATCGCCCCCTGGTGGCCGACTGCAATATATATGTTTTTTATTATTTGATGCTATATAAATGGGATAAAGGTCGTGACTTGAATTCAACTCGAAACCTGCAGTCACTCAACCTCTGTTAGCAACGAGCACCAGGACCACCACGGGCGCTCGGGGATGATTTAGTTTGTGTTCACATTAGGGCCGTTATGTTCGAGTGGCTGCCAGGTCTGGATACTGCACTGTCTGTGTTTGTATGCACAGGTTTGATGTCCGTGCTAGTTCTGGTGGCGCTTCATGTGCAGGGCCAGGTGGTCGGAGCGGGAGAAGCAGCGGCTGCAGGCGATGCACTTGAAGGGTTTGGCCCCGGTGTGTTTCCGGTAGTGTCTGGTGAGCTCGTCCGATCGGGCGAAGCGCCAGTCGCAGTTGTCCCATGTGCAGCGATACGGCTTCTCGCCTGCAAGAGAGAGAGAGAAAGAGACGATTTAACAAAAGACAGGAAGTTATTACAACTTTTTAAGATCATTTTAATCAGATTCACATTCACAGGGTCCAGTTCGGTCGAAGCTTTGAGTCCAAGCAACTCAATCAAAACCATAAAACATGCACGTGGTTGAATAAAAGCTTTTATTCTCAGGGCTCTTAAATTCATTTCCTTTCTACATCTTTATTGTTTGTCATGAAAATCGACTTCAGTGGATTTGAAACTTTCATGTAAGTTAATTAAGCCTTTATAAAAACGTGTCCCTTTATTTTTTTTAAGAACAACATTTCACGTTAACGCAGTCGAACAGTTTTTAATAATCAGCTGTTTAAAACATTTTGACATCTGATGGTTGGTTGATGAACAACTCTGTAAACAGAAGAGACGACGAAGATCAAACGATCCTTTTCACAACCTCCTTGTTTACTTGTTTGAATCATTAACGAGATGACGGCTCCACAGAAGAGAAGCCGAAGCGTCTTTATTGTTTTTCCTCTTCAACACGTGATGGAGGTCAGGGCGATAACAATAACGTTCTGAAGTTGGAGTGCACTTGAACATACCACGATCACAGTCTAGTGCAAAATCAAACTGAAGTCACTGATTTCTTTCATCAGAATCACAAATTCCTCTTGTTTGGTCACATGTGCACAAACTCCACCTCAGATGTTTTTCTTTTCCGTCTCAGCTCCTATTTGTGTCGTTCTCATCATTTCTGTGTTATCAGTAAACACGTTAATCCCAAACGTTAATTGCTGCGTCCTGGTGTGAACCTGTGTTGTATTTCTAGATGGAGATAATCCGTATTGATGTTTTTTTAAACGTGTGGGCGACTTGTGGTTTACTGCTGCACACACGCTGCGCTGGAAGCCACGAGGCTGAGCGCTGAGATAAAGTTGCACGGTGCACTATTTTGGACAATGCACTTAACTACTGGGTCAGGTGCCACACACCTACACACACCTACACACACCTACACACACGCAATCCTTCAGCAGCATGTCAGGGTTGTTTTGGTCTGTTTACACACACACACACACACAACAAGAACTGAGGAGGAAGTTGCTTCATTCACAAACCACAGAATTTAAAAAATGAACCACTGCAGCTGAAAGATGCTTTTATTAAATTCCTGAGAAGTTTAGTTTTTGCTGACAACAGTAACAGTGTGTGTGTGTGTGTTGTTAGTGTAATGCTGAAGGACACACCTTTATTTATAGTTACGTGTGTGTGTGTGTGTGTGTGTGTGTGTGTGTGTGTGAGTGTGTGTGTGTGTGTGTGAGAGTGGAGGAGAGAGCTTGTTAATAACAGACTCAACGTTTTAACTAATTAAATCTGATTGAATCCTGTATGACCTGTTTATTAACCTGACAAAATATCTGTCTGTGATTATCAGCCATTCAATTATTCATCAATGAATCATTATGTCTTCAAATTAAAAAACAAATGTATTAATTTAATTTCCTTAATATATGAGCATGTGCTTCAGAAAACCTGGTTCAGCGAGTCGTGAAAAACGAAACACTAGATGGGTTTGTTTATTTGCAGAGAGCGTGACCGCTGATCGAGACACAGCAACGGTGAACGTTTCAGGTTTTGGCAGCTGAACGCTGAAGTTGCACAACGGAGCTTTTAACCACGATGGAGTAAAGTTTGAGGAAAGGGTTAATGTGGGTTTGTGTCTCGCACAGAAAGTAAAACGCACAAAATGAAAAACATTTCACAACATTACATTTTTTTTTTTAAGGCTAATGCCGCTACTGATACTGGCAAGTAAAACATTTTCAATACCAATATATCGACCAATATATATTTGAGATACTTAAAATATCATGATCAAACCCTTATAACAAATACATTTAACAGACTTGATATTTTACTATATTATAAATGCATGTGTTTTCTACATGATCTATCCTGTAAAATAAAAGTTTCATATCAGCAAACAAACGCTGGTTCTGAGGCTCATATCAGCTGATTCTTATCTAACTGATAAATCAGTTTCACTTTAATCAGTATTTGTTTTCATGTGAATGATAGAGGAGCTTTAAAATGAGCTCGATTGAACTATAGTGTTTTCTGTCTCTTTTTAAAGAAATGTTTGTTTCATGAAATCATTATTTTTCGAGTAAGAACAAATGTCTCTGACTCCGCTCATCGTTCGCTGTGTTCTACTGTGAGTTTACTGTGATTCTGTCGATCGTCTCAAGTAAAACTCTTCCCATTGTTTCTGAACCATGAGTTTGGTTTTAGAATCCAGAAGCTACAAATACAGAACCTGTTAAATGTGAATTCAAAGCACCAAAGAGTAACGAGTCCATTTAACACAACCACACCCAAACACTGACATTTCTGCGCTGTGCCACGACGTGTTAGTGCTGAACAGTGAGCTAATCATCAACAAAGAGAAAAGGCTCTGTTGAACACGCTGGCATGAGCACAAGAGGAGGAAAGAAAAAGAAGTCATCAGTCATAGCCGAGCCGAGGTGGAAATTAATCTCTGGAAATCAAGAGCGCAAACAAAACTGAAAGAGGCACAACTCCACGAGTAAACGCAGAATCCTCAATCTGTGGTTTCCAAGTTTCTGTTCATACATTTTTGTATAAAAAGTATAATTCCAGGATATAAAGGATCTGCAACAAAGATTGATTTATCCAACATTAATGTTTGTTGCCTCTTTAAAGAAGTGTGCTTTTACTTTGGTTTTAGTTTTGGACAACTGTAAAAAGACGAACTCGTGTCCTGGTCTGAAAAACCTTGAGGAGACTCTTCTCCGAGCCACGGTCAAGGAAGCGTGACTGTCTCTGCTCGCTGTGGGTCATTAAGCGCTCGTTAGCAGCTCGGGCTCCAGCTGATTAGATAACTCCCACTATTGATCATCAATCACTGAGTGGCAGCCGTTCGTGGAGCAGAGGGGTCCAAAGAGCACAGGGGGAAACGGTTTGACGATAAAGCACCGAAAGAAGAATAAAGAGGAAGAGATTATTTGTGGTCTTATGAGAGAATGAATGTCTTTTTAAAGATTCAATTAAATTAAATATGTAATATAATTTATTCAGTAAAAGGTTTGAAGATTAAAAATGTTGTTTATTGTTAAACCTGAGAAATTCAACCTGCACCTAAACCCACATCAGAGGCTCAGGAGCACTTCAGCCTCCTGTTTGGACAATATCCTGTTTCTAGACTTCACTGCACTTGATGTGTGTGTGTGTGTGTGTGTGTGTGTGTGTGTGTGTGTGTGTGTGTGTGTAGAAGTGGAGCACAAATGTCTCCATATAAAAGCTTGAGGCTCTCGAGCTGCAGGTGTGTTTGGTTTTGCTCTATAGCTGAACTGTCAGGGTTAAAAAGCGGCCGCCTCTCAGACTAATATCCTCAAGGGCCTCGCAAACCGGCCCCTGAGGCCCACACAGAACAAACACTGCTGTCGTATATGATCCTTAACAAGCTGCCAAGAGGCTGAGGTGAAAATCTCATTACTCATGTTCACTCGATGGTAAAATCATGTTGATGTGTAGATTTTAAATTGAGCTTTTTACAAAAACTGTCTCAAGATACTGATCTTGATCAGACTGGTCTTAAATTATGACGCAGGAGAAGTGAGATCTTTGAAACTTCACGATGAGATAAAGGTTTGAGTGTGCACTCATTCATCACGCAGCACGTTCATTTTCTCCTCCTCTGTTATTAGAAGGATTTGAAATCGTCTTTGTATAAAACTATCACAGGACGTTTTCTTTCAAACTGAAAAAGCTTTGACGGACATTTGTACATAACAAACAGCAACTGTTTGATCAGGTGGCTGTGTAGAAACGGCCAAACTACCTTTTCTCTCACTCACACACACGTGCACAAAACGTGCACGTGCACGAAAAAATCATAAATCATAACAGACAAACACTCAGTCTCAGCAAAACACACACACACACACACACACAGCAACAACACATCAATCGCGCTGGGACACAAAAGCCCCTGTCAGACTGATGTGTACTTTATGAAAGGACATATACATCGTGTATTTACTCTATAGGCGGCTTCAACTCTCTGTGACACTCTGAACTCTCTGCATGGAAAACTATGACTCCTGCTTATTCCTTATTCCTCTCTTATAACTTATAACCGGAATAAAGTTGTAATTAAACGAGAACAAATATTTTTTTATCATTTAAATCGATGATGCTCTACAAAGAAAGAAAGAAAGAAAAAAAAAAAAGAGGTTCAAGTGCGCAACATTTTTCTCCATTAAATTCTCCTCTGACACGATGCGACAGCTTTAATCTAAAGTCAATTTACACTTGGAATAAAGGCATCCAGCTGATAACTAAACCAACTCAGAGCGAGTCCACAATCCTGTTATATGTTGAATGTCAACTGACAGTGAGGAGAGCAAAGGTCACCGTTAATTAACGGCAGTTTCCACCCATCCATCAAATCTGCGGCAAATAAACTGTTAAGAAAAGTGAAAATACCTGAGCTGAAACCAGAGGTTTTTTCAAAAACCACGTCTTCAACTTCAAACCGCAAATGACTAAACCAAGTGTGTTTGAATACGTGAGTGTAATAATATTCACTTTATATCCAGCTCTGCTGTTTTTACAGAGTCAAAGAGCAAACACGTCCAGGCGGTTCCAGGACGCCCATAAACTCTTTGTGGAGCTCTCAGCTTTATCAGCAGCGTTGGTGTTTGTGAAGAGGGCTGGAGGGTTCCCTAATCAGGCTGATAGCGCTCCGCTCTTTACACACACACACGTACAAACACACACAATTGCAAAAGTCCATGTGCAGGGCCGCAAATGGCTGCCGCGGGCCACGGTCAAGGCTGGGGCCCCCCCCCACCCCCGTTTAACAATGGGAGGGTGAGATTGTTGTGATAGCAGAGTTGACAGGGACCAAAGATAGTGGTTCAACAACAACGTGCACATCAGCAGAGACCAATATTATGGAGTAGAATTCTGCTGTGGCATCAATTATATGAGAGCAGGAGAGAAGTTCTCGATTGATCCAGACCAACTTCATAAAACCACGGTCGATGGGAGACAGTTCATCTAATCACCTTTTGAAAGTGCCGAACATTTTCTGAAACAACTTGGGAAACTCTGAGAGAAGATTACAGCTCTACAGATCAACCTCTGAAACACGCTCCACTTCCTGATACTGTCTCCTCTGGAAAACAAAAACAGAAAACCCCTTTTTATCACCGTGACAAGGAAATGAAGCGGACGTACAGTAAATCAGTGATGATGATGTTTCAGATAAAAGATTGTCAGCAAACACACAACGATGTTCATTCCATGTATAGATGAAGGAGCTACAGAATATCACGGGCGTGGAAATATTCCTTCCGGCTACGCAACATGGAAGTTCACATGCACGTACTGTATTATTAACCAGAGCAAATTATAGTCCCTGTCATCGTGAGCTACAACAAACATGAGCAGGGATGTCAAATAAGGTCACTGTCAAAAGGTATCTCTGCGTTAGTCTTCAAATCTCATCATAACGTTCCAATGCTCCAATAAAAGGGGACCTAGGACAGAACCTTGGGGAACTCCACGGTTCAATTATTACAGAATAACCATTGTAAACAATCAGCTCTCTGTCTGAGAGATAGAAAACAGTTTAGAGTAAAAGGGATGATAAGGAGTTGTTGAGAAAATAAGCTGCTTGAGACTGAGGAGCTACATCCATTCCATACTCTGGTTCGGGTTTTGTTAATTTCTTTTGATTTGCCTGGAGTACCATTGTCTCTCAAACATACTCGGCTCTTGAGTCATCAACAGTTGAATGTAAAACAAGACCGGACAGGCCTCGCACCACCGGATCACCAGTCAAGTCTGTTGGTTAGATTCAGAAAATGACCAGAACAAGCAGTGGAGTAAATCTCTCACAGCGGCTGAGTCACTGAGGAGTGGTGGGTTCTCTGCTGTTACACTGAGGTGACTTCAAGTGTTCATCAACATCCTGGGATCAGGAGTCACCCGGGGGGGTGGGGAGGTGTTGTCAGGATATTTCCTTTATTTGTTACTTGTGTCTTGTCAATAACTGATTTGATTGAAGCAGCCTGAGAAGGAATAACCTCTAAGGTCGATGTAGACTCATCACAAGTGAGTCTACAGAAGGATTTTACAGCCCTGTGTTGAAAGACAGCCACAGATTCCATCACTGTTTGTGTTTTGTGCGGTTAAACGTTTGACTAGTTTGACTGTAAACTCGTGTATCAGTCGTCTACACTGGATGTCCGCTGCCCCAAGAGGCGAATTCTTCAGACAACAGCCAAGGGGCTCCGAGGTTCACTACTGATTATATCATCTTGTACGCTGGTTTTAAAAAAATTATGGATGTATGAATCCAAACCTACTCCTCACGTTGTTCTGTTGAGCGTTCTCACTGGAGGTTTTATAGCCTATTTGTCTTTTGTGCTGCTCAGATTCATAAATCATATTTAGTTATGGCCACAGAGAGATGTTCTTCTTCGTGTGTATTCATTCACGTGTTCGTTCGCTCGCTCTCTCTCTCTGTCACCAGTTTGACACTGTGACATTAATCACGAGTCTCCGTGTCCGAGGCCGATGCTGCAGATCCACAGGTTTCATCTTACAGAACGAGCAACGCATCGAAACCAGCCTTTCCCCCCATTCAGCAAACTCTCCACCTTCCTCCTCCATCCTCCGAAAACACGACTGAAAAGCAGGAGTAACTGGTTTGGCCTTTATTTCAACAGTGTGCCTTCCCCCTTTATTTCCCTCCTTCCCTCATCCTCCCCTCCACCCTCCCTCTTTTGTTATCTCTCTCTGGGGAAGCTCGGGCGACAGGTACGAGCACGTAGAAACACGGTAAAACAAAAACTCTTAAGCAAACCAACGTGGCTCCCCTGCTGTTTAAACTTTTCTTCAAGCTAATCTCTCTCACAGTCACTGGATGTATTGAAACTGGGGATCTGACAGGATGAGGAATATACACACGAATAAAGTCGACTGAACTCAGTGACTCAACTGTCGCTGGTTTGAATCCCAGGATTAGTTTAGAAATGCAGAGAGGAGCGATTAAATACGACTTCACAGGAAGCACATGGGGAAACACACTTTCTCTGAATTCTTATTCATGTTTTAAATTTGAGAGACCCACAATTAATTTACACACACTTGTTTTTACACATTTCTCTCATTCCTCTTATCTTATAATTTTCTTTCTTTTTATCTTTCTTTCTTTTTGCAGTGATGGAAACACGACACCCGGTGAATGCGCTTATTTCTTAGTTTTTAGTCTCGAGCCCGACGCTGCACCTGAATCTGATGCGTCAAACAAAACAAAAAAAGGAATTTTTGTGTAAAATATTTGATTCCTGTTGTGAGAGGAAAAATAGATGATAGTCTGCCAAAGTTAAAGTGCACCCAGCGGCTGTTCCGGTGAATGAGGTGTGAATGTGACTTGATTTCAGAGCAGCTCTATATGAATTTACTGTTTCCAGCATCTATTTGACAGATCTCTCACCTGTGTGTGTCCGCTGATGAGCCTTCAGATGAGAACTCTTTGTGTAAACTTTGCTGCAGCCTGTAAAGAAACGACAGAAATCATGAGACACGATGAAAATGTGAAAACGTGCTGAACAATAAAGGTTTGATACAAGAGGAGTTTTTGTGACCCAGTGAGATTAACTTCTACGGAAATGTAAAACAGGATATTTGGCAAAAAAATGCTGGTGGATCGTGTTAAACAGTTTCACAAGGTTGATGTTTGGATTTGAATAAAACAGAAAAATACCTCCAGTCACTTCATTTACGAATTCTCAAGTTTTTACTTCTCGTAACATGAAGCCTCTGACACGATTTCACCTGTTTCCAACACGACTGCAGCTAAAGTAAAGTCTCATTTAAAGTTTAAACTTCAGTTTTCTTTGAAGAAACACGAGAACAAAACGTTTCCTTAATCATCACACTGAATAAACGTACAACTCAGAGAAAACAGTCGTTCAGAAACTTGAACCAGGGAGAACGATCTCACCTCGCTGTCATATTTCTTCTGGACGAGTCTAACATGAGACTTAATCATTTGATGAAGAGAGACGAATGTTCTGGCAGCGTGTTATTAAGTATGTCGGCAATCTTGTTTCTGCACAATTGTTTCTGAGAGGCGGCGCGTTACTGAGAGATTTACATCTGTGCTTCAGGACGGGGTTTATTTACACAACAGTGACACTGCGAGACAACACTTTGATCCGACTCGTTGGAGCGGTTGTGTTGAAACTTGTTTTCACAAGTTCTTTGCGAATCAAACCGCCATTAAAGAGCAGGAGATGTTGCATTTCTGTGCAGTAAAGTCTATACTTTAGGAGAACAACCTCAGTATGTGTGTGAGTAAGAGCAGGTATCAAATTGCATAGTGTTATACGTCGCCTGAGGACTTCTACACTTGATCAGTTGTACGGTAGAGTGCAGACGAGGTAAAAGAACAGTCCGGTGACAACTTCATTATATATTTCAGTTCTACACAATAGGCAGCACTGGCCGTTTTCCAAAATGACTCAACGCTGCCTGTGACCTCAGACGACTTAAAGGAGACATTTTAATTTAAACTGTGTAAAAACTTTAAAATGTTTACGTGAAAGAAAAAAAAATCACTTTCTTCAAACTGTCCATCGCTGCAGCTCCTCTTCTCAAACACTGGGTTTGAGCTCTGTTCTGATTGGTCAACTGCCTCCATGTTTGAAATGTCGGCCTCTGCTCTCACTTTACATGGGACAAGTTCCACCTCAGAAGTTTGAGGTACGTTTTCTCTCATTTGGAGGTTTTCATCATCAATCATCAGCGTATAATAGCTGTTTAAAATGGCAGCGACACAGAGTTCTCTACAAGTTTGACAGCTGCTGATCGGCGACAGAAGAGACCAACATCCTCAAGTGTATTTTGAAGTTTCAAACACATGTCAACTTCCTCTGAGACTTATTTCAGGACAAGGGTGTCCAACCCACCAAAGCTTAAATGTTGTTTTCAGTAAAAACTGAACGTGGAGATCCTGACGTGAAGCTTCGTGCCTCTGGTGTAAAAAGGAAAACTTCTTGAATCAAGTGTGACGAGTTTTAGCATGAGACGTTTTTGTGGAGTAAAACAAATAAAGCACAGACCTGGGTAGTCACAGAAGTGGATCCTCCTCTTCTCCAGCTCTGGGTTGTTCCGTCTGTTATATTTGGGGCCTGTCAGGACGCCCTGGCCGTGTGTCATCAGCAGAGCGTGAGGGGACAACCCTGTCACCTTTGTCCCCCCGAGACGCTGCTGGTACGGAGGTGGAGGTAGGGACGCTAAGCCGAGCAGCTCCGCCTGGCCATCGGGGCTCCCGGGCTGGGAGTTTGGGGGTGAGGGCGGCAGGCTGTGTGGCGCTGTGTGCTGGGATGCGTTGGGAGTGGCCTGGTAGTAGCCGTGGTGCTGCGGGAGTTGGTGTTCCTGCATCATGTAGTGGCCATTGGATGTCGGCAACGCGACGCCTCCGAGGCTCAGCATGGTCCTGCTGCTTGCGGAGCCGTGGGTCGACGGGGAGTTGTGCGACAGCGTGAGGTCGGCGCAGCTGGTGATGGGCATCTGGTAGACCTGCGACTGGGGGGCCGGGGGGCCGATGTGAAGCTCTGTGTCCAAACTTGGCTGCTGCTGAGATCCCGCGGCCACACTGACCACTCCTCCAGAGCTCATGTCCGGTTTGATGAAAACGTTGTTGACCACAGGCGGCACGCTGAAGACGGAGGTGAAGTCTGGCAGGGCCTGGGTGGTGGAGGTGGAGATGGAGCAGGGCACCTCCAGGCCCGGTTCTATCTTGATCTGCTGGGGCGTGAGGGTCTTAGTGTTGGGCCTGTAGAGGCCTGTGCGGAGGTGGGTGGTGCTGGGGAGGATGACGTTGATGTTGAGGCTGTAAGGGGCGGGTTTCTCCTCTGAGAAGAACTCATCCACCACGGAGGCGCTCTCTCGTCGGTACTTTTTGTCACCGCAGACAGTCGAGGGGTTCAAGAGAGGACCGTTGATCTGTGGGAGGTATTTGTCCAACTCCAGTCGAATCTGAAAAGAAAAATAAATGAATAAATAGAAGTGTTAAAAAAATCGAATTATTCCAAAGGACAAGTCCTCAGAATGTTTTCTTTCTTGAGAACAGTGAAAACAGACGAGACGATAAATGATCTACAACAATTAAATCCCAACCACACAAACGTCCTGGAGATTCAAACCCAGAACCAACAGTGACCGTGCTTACCGCTGCATATATACACAGAGTACATATACACACACAGTTCTGCAGCTGATATTAAAACGACAACGTTTTTCCCTTTGGTATTTCAAACTAATTTAGTTTGAAATAAATGAAATTGTATTAAATAATTAACTTTTCATTTGGGACAAAGATGATTCAGGTGTAAATGAACAATACATTACGTCAGGCCAGAAACGTTTCCGCGCACGTAGCATCGAACAATATGAAATGTCAATGAAGACCATTATTGTTGTTTTCTCATGTTGCCATGGAGACACAACTGTCAAGTCGCTTGCATGACAGCAGTGGAAACAACAGGTTAGTCGAAACGTTTTCATGCGACAAGACGGGACAGGTGCATCCTCACTTTAGGTCGAGAGCATTATCTGATTGTCGGGACTTACTGGTGTGTGTGCTCATGTGTTTGTGTGCGGGCGTCATTCAGAGTCTATGAAGCCTGTCAGTCCTTTAGAGGTGCACGAGCCATTAAGTAAAGAATCTCTGCAGCGGAGACCACACACACACACACACACACACACAGACAAATGTATAAACGCATGAGTTATAGAAAACATACACAAGCAAATGTAGGTGTGCACGCACTGCGACACACACTTATCTGCACACAAACACACAAACAGGTGGAGAGATCCCCACGTGGGCGTGGCCAGTGGAAGTGGTTTTGATGC